CGTATGTGGCGCTTGGCCAGTTGTATACGAATGAATTTTAACATTCTAGCAAAATCTGAATTTTGTAACGCCATTCTTACTTGTTCCTCTGCCTGATCCAAATCATTATATCTTGAATAAAGTCTAATGCCCAACATCACTTGATACAATTATTTTCCAGGCTATCAACAGTCTGCAAAGGTAGACGAAAAAATCTTCTGGCGACAAGATTAAAGTTAGTCATCGTCAAGGATGAGTTAGTGTTTACCAGTGGCCGAGCAGTAAAGACCGCCGATCGCTGGAAGCTTGATCAGGCTTCAAATCCCAACGAATGAGCTGGCTTCAAGGGAGATTTCGTGGTTTTCTCCATATGTGACGTGAATATGACCCAGTCCCCCCTCCCCAGTAAAAGTCGCCAGCTTTGCTGTAACCCAAATAATCAAATCCACTGAAGAATTATGATACTGTTTTGGCATCGTTGATGATTATATCTGCATGTGGGAGAGGCTGTCGGCAGATACAATCTTGTTAATAACTCGAAGCATTATACGGGGCGAACCTTTAGTCCATGTGTAGGGAGCCAATGCCATCGTTGATTAATGCCATAATGTCGATAATCTTTTATTGATACTATAGCAGTGGCATATGCTCAAACCGTATTAAGACATATGTGTTGCTAAGTTCCTTGAGAACACAAAAAAGAGTTATTTTTCAACAAAATAAAGCTCAGCTACATTCTTGCCGGATTTTCTTTTTACGTTTTAATCAATTTGATCTTTTATGGATCTTCTTTCTTGATACCTGTCGACTATTGAATAACTATCAGATATCATAGAACGATGCGTTGCATTTCGGATAATCCTTATGAATTCTATGATTACAAGGATGCACTGCCCATCCCTCAAGAGGACATTTCCCAATTAAAAGAGCCATCTTACTTTCCAGCTTGCTTATTGAATTTATGCTCATAATTCTAATTTCAGTCATAATTGCTGATTATCATAGTTTTGAAATCATTTCGTTGCACATACGGCAGTCGCATCAGCTAATTTTGTTCACACTCAAATAATCGTTTAAAGTGGAAAACCTAACTGAAGAGAACGATACATTTTATTCATTTAGAATTTTTGAAAAGCCACAAGTTTTCATTTGGACGTTTTTGAACGAAAACTGATAGAAAATTTTCCATTTCAGTTGTCAAAAATTTTTCTTCCAAAAATTTCCGCTTGAAAAAGGAATACTGATTGAATAAACAAGTACAAACTTCCACCTTAATAATATTACACTACGTGACATTAAAAATGCTACGCCAACAAGGAAACACGCAGCAAACTTAAAATTTGCCTGCAGCGATTTTACTATGAACAAGTTCCACGCTATGCATCTTGGTGAATTTGATGTTCACATGTTAGAGAATTCATGCTATTTTGTGTTTCAGCGAACTATTAGTCTCAAGAGCCAAAACAATTTGCTTCACTTTATTCAGTGTTATTTTTGTTTTTGAGTAACTACTGAAAAGGATTTGTGTTGCTCAGACAAAGTGAATAAGATCCACAAAAATATTTGTTTGTCAATGCATATCTGTGTCAACTAGATACTTCTGTATCGTTTTCGTTACTAGTATTTGTACTATGTGAGGATTAGTGCTTTGTACAACGTACTAAATATTACAAAATACTACATATGTAGACTACATGACATATTAGACTATATGAGGGTCTAATGTGCCATGTTCTGTATCATACTCTTCAAACAAAGAAACACTGCCGTACAATATAGATAATACCTGCCAGGAACATGCCGTTGTAATTCACAGATACATAACGTTTGACAACTATTGCTGCAGATATTGCGAGCATGCATGCCACTTTGTTCACCTGTTCTGAGGCTGAAAGTGATTGTGAAATGTCACACTTTGCGCCTATGCTCTCACACGCACCAGCATTGAAAATTTCGTGGATTGTCGTCAGGAAATACCACATATTTTCTTGTTGGTAAATTCAGCGTGCCTAAAAATATAATAAAAGTGCCTTATATAAAAGGGCCTAAAAATTAGCTCGCTGTATTTTAATGTCGACTGTGCTATTTTTATGTAATCTGCTGTTTTGAGTGAATTATAAACAGACATTTTTAAATAAAAGTTATTAATATTTATAGCAAAAGTATTAAAACTACTGTGGGCGTAACTGAGACAGTTATATTGTTTTGGTTTAAATAATTAGTCTAAAATAAAATTTGAAATTTAATTTTGTATTACATATGGAGGCACGCATTTTTCGCTTTGACTCAGATGATGAAAAATCCAAACGTTGCTCTAGATGAAGGCAGCTATATAGAAGCGAAGTATTTAAAGCTAGGCGTAAAGTACAAATGGATAAATAAATGATATTTAAGTAAAATATACTGCTCAGTTTTGTTACCATTTTTAGAAATAGTTTCTTATTTCATTCGTTGAATATATTGTAGAGGTGGAAATGAGTCCTCTTAATTTTTGAAACTATTGGGCTGTTTTCTCTGCATCACTATATACATTACTTTATAATTTATCTATTATTCTGTTCAATACACAGGATGACTGTAAAGCTTTGAAACTGGAAATTAAAATTCTGCACGAATCTCTGAATATTTTAAAGATTAGCAGGCGAAATGATTAACGGATTTTTCAGGGTCACTTTGTGCATTTATGTAAAGTCTTAAGCATAAGAAAGCTTGTATACATATCCTTATCTGTCACTACGACGTATTTTGATTTTAGCTACCATGTAATAATCTATACTTCTTCTAGGAAGCATCCTTCATTGAGCGAAAAATAGAGACATCACTGAAATATTACTTTTTCTAATCATTGTGCCTTATTGACTACAATAATCTGTAAGTGTTTTAAAGTTATTTTTCATAAGATTTTTAAACTACATATGAATAATGTGTTTTATTGGAGAATAACGTTCTTGAATGTAAAACCAGACCTAATAAAGTAGCAGTTTAACCGGATTTAAAATAAAAAGTTGCGTTTCATCAGTTTATTCGTTATTTTGAAATTTGCAGCAGTCTTCATTATATTGTAGCTTATCGGTGTTTCACTCGTTTTGACTAAAATAGTTTTCCTCAACTTCTGCTTACATATCTTAAAAATAAAACAAGGAGTTTTATAAATATATGTACAGATAAATAGATAAATAATAGGATATAATATAGATAAATAATAGGCTTAAATATAGATAAATAGATACGGATATTTGTTTATTAAGGCTGCAGATGTTATATTATCGATGAAATTAAATAAATAAACTTTATACCGCCACAAACATTTTTGTTTACTTCTGAACAAAATTTTAATTTCTTCTAGACTAAAATATTTGTGCTTCCTTCCACCACTCTGTATGGTATGATGGTTAGCGGAGCCGGCTGCAATATTAGTGGTCACGGAATCGAACCCTGGGGAAGGAATGAATAAATGTATAATATCTTTGAATATGAAGGCGCTTAAAATTCCAACGAACATAAAGTCCTTTTGAGAGGCTGGTGATAAGGAAAGACGAATAAGAGACTCTTTAATTCTCTCCTCCTAGTGTATTCTCGATCGAAATTGGAATAAAGTCGTATTGGCACCAATAAGTTGTCAAAAACCTTGGACAAGAATAGTCGGCCTTTTCCTCTTGACCATGATAGATTCGTGGACCTAATCCCTCTTCTGGTTCAGATCAGAAAGAAGGATAAGTAACGAAAACAATTTTTTTCCCAATGGGGGCTCTAGCCGTTTATAGGAGTTGCCACTACTAGGACCGGAAGAGTAGTCTCTTTATTATGGAGGCACCTAACAGGTGGGTCACCATAGCCTCCAAGGAAGGGACGGACAAATTACATCAATGCCTTCTCCGGGATTCGAACCAAGGTACTTCAGTACGACGATGAGAGTCACTAACCACTTTCGCGGCTGGCCGACAATGAATAAAAGTATACCAGTTTGAGAATTGTAAAAAATCTGCAACTTGCATACTCAAAAATTGCATACGGTTTAGCTCATTCAGATGTTATTCTGCTAACTGCTACGAAGGCTATTGAAAGAAATGCTAACTTATATCCATTCACATGAAATACTTATGAAGAAATCTGATTCAAAGCAGCTATATGTTTGTTTAAAATACTTTTGCAAGTTTTACTCATAGAATTACTATGCAGAGTACTGTTAAGAACTTTTCTAATAACACGTATAGAAAGAGTTATAAAAATACTCATGAATATTTAACAAACACAATTATTTTAACAGATTTTTCAATTTTTTGTGTTCTCTTCCTCCTTTGAGAGCCTACCAGTGGCCGAGCGGTAAGAGCGCTGATGGCTGGTAATTTGACCAGAATTAAAATGCTTGTGAACGACATAGCTGTACAGAACCTTTCATGGTTTTCTCAATGTGAAACGTGAATACAAGCCAGTTTCCTTTGGAAAGTTTTCCACAAAGTCATCCATTCCCTTAGGCAAATAGCTCTCATGTGCTTCCCATAATGAAAATAACATAATCTAACCTAAGCCATATGCATAATTGGGCAAACAAATTTGATGCTTTTAATGGAAGCAGCAGGTAATACGTAATTAGAATCGCTACTTCTGAGTGTAAAGCTTTACTTTGAAGAGGGTATAAAGTGTTAGTTTTTAATTAGGCAAACGAAGCTGAAGGGTATATATAATAAAACTGAGCAATAATATCATGATCGCAAGTCACCAGTTTTAAAGTGCTTTCCACATTCCCTGGTATCTATGACGAAATCTGGAAAATCTGAATTTATTTTAAGCGAAAACTTAATAGGCTGTCACCACGCTGTAAGCAGTTGTCAGCGGCGCGCGCGCTTTCCCGAACTTAATAGAAGTTAAGTGACGAGCGCGCGAAAAACGCTCCACTCGCTCCAAACCGTCACCAATTGGCTGGATTTGGCGCGAAATCGCTCCTTTTCGGCACAAAAAAGTAAAAAACTCTCTTAACTTCCTATCCAGATCCACTTTCGCTGGCAGTTATGCGGTAGCAATCGCATGGCAAGCAATGGGCGCCGAGTTCCTGTTCCATTCCGCATGCGGGTAATGAAAAAAATAGGGGTTACAATTCGTTTGTTCTTTTTGTTTTGTTTGGCTCTTTACCCTTTATTAACGTCCACCCTCGAAAGTTCACCTCTGGTTACGATAGCTGCCGAAGATTTGACTGTGACAGGTGAGTTTTTTTTTTTTTTTTCTTTCCCAAAATTTTCAGTTATAATAAGTTTTTTATATTCTTTTTATTCTAATTTTGCTGACTTTTATTTGTTTCATTACTTGGGATTAACATATTAAAGCAGGTGAATTCTAAACCGAGTTCCAGATGTTTTTGTTTTGGAACTTGAAATTGGTTTCGATGCCGTGGGAAAAAGTTGTCGCAAAATTATAAAACAGCAATTCAGTGTCCTTTTTGATAGACTTTATAATCTAGGAAATTTAATTTATATACTTTTTTTATATTTTAGATTCTGACCTTTGAGAAAGTAAAAGATATTTAAAACAAAATATGGAATCCTTACAGTGAAATAAAAGTTGTATTAAACTTACTCTTTAAAAGAATTTAATTTTTATGTCAGGGTTTTTTAAAGCCTATTAATGCTTAAAGTGAAATAAAATTTCAGAATGTTTTAGTAGCAGTTTTCCAGGATTAAAGTTGAGAATTTTAAAAATGATTTTGATTTCTTAGTGATTATGTGTATTTTAAGCAAAATTTTCTCTATAATGTTTTTTTCAATAAGCTTTTCATATTTTTACGAAACGATATACATGTCATATAATTCACGTTTCATTATGTATGCCAGTTATATACTGGTAATTATATGTTTCTAAAACTGGGTGTGAAAAAGTTAATAATTTATGTTGGTCGTGAAAAAAACTGGAAAATGTAGTTAAAATATGTATTTAAAAAAATGTTACCAAACAGATTACAGACATTTATATTCATGTATTTATAATAAAAATGCTAAATCTCAGGAAACGAGTGCAATTTTTTAAGCTATGCGCAAATACATTGTATGCATGTTAAACTTATAGAACTAAATTTGCACCACAAAGTGTGTAGTGTAAAGCCATTTATCACCAGTTTGGAATTCTATAATAGGGATTTTTCCAATTTCTTCTTTTCTTTTACTGTTTTTAACTTTAAATATATTTTTAACTAGTTAAGTGAGTTAATTCTTGTTTTTAATTAGTTTTCTTTCTCTCTCTCTCTTTTTTTTAGTTTCATAGTTGTTTAACATTAGTTCTCGCACTTTTAAATTTTTTTATTAAGCGTATAAGTATATTGGTAAATATAATTTTATTAGATATTACTTCCAGGAAAATTAGAACATTTCTAAAAATATATTTCTCAAAATAATTTCCTAAAAGTATAATAACTCTGATTACACTCTTTTTTTTCCTCTTTCAAAACTAAAGAAAGATGCAAATAATTTTATTCTGAGTCTGAATTTAATTTTATTCTCAGTCTGAATTTAAGAGTGAAGTCTTGTACTAGGTACTTCTGCGGAAGAATAAATTGTTAAATATTTTACTTAAATTGGTGATTTCTAACTGAATTAAGAATTTGCTATAAATAGTCATTTGCTTCTCAGACTACAGTGACTGTAGGTCTATTGTTAACGACTTTTACAATAGTTTATTACCAGAAAAAATGATTTTTTCGGTGAAATAGTGATGAAAACGTTTCCTTTTAAGAAGTCAATTATATAGATATATACTCCTATAATGTTATATAGTTACATTTATTAGGACTGTGGAATAGTTATAGACTGCTTCAGATATTACAATCAGCATTTCATCCAGTGCATCTTCAAGCCAGTGTTAACAGAAGATGTGAATGGGGAAAGTTTCTAAATTAATGCTTTTACATTTGAGTGCGTCTCTAAGGTCAGAGATTTAATAAAACATTCAGAATTAAAATATTCCGAAGGATACTCTTGTGATCGATCTCTAAAATATGGAAGTGAATATTGGAAAGCCGATGGTTCTAATTTCACACGAATGTCATATTATGAAAAATGTCTTCTAATTTCACCCGAATATCCTATTATACAAACCAGACTGAAAAGGTTTCCTAACTTTTAAAATTAATCAAGGCCTATGTAATCCTGCAACTTATTTCTCAAAATAATTAATTTCTCCCAGTTAACTAAATGACATTCTCATTAATGTGTTACGTTTTCTCTATCATTCACACTCTGGCATATGCGAACCTATATTTTCCGTTTTACTGTGACAGCATCCAAACGCATGTTTGCCTTGAGTTCTTAATGGTTTGAAATCCTTTCATAATCTGCGAGTATGATTAATACTTACCTAATCAATTCTACTGCGATACAAAGCAACATAGAATATACTTATTAGTACTATATTTTATAAAAAATTATAGTGCAGTCATTCGTGATGTATTATTTAACTGATATGTTTATTGATAGTTTGAGTGCTTTTACAGTATTAAATAAAAGTATGGGCATGACTTTGTATTTTGAATCAATTTTTGTGAACTAAAAAAGATGCGTTACTTTCAGTTGTAGATAATAGTTTATTGACAGTTATTTATACGCAGAAATAAATATTTTATAAAGTTTAATATTGAGCGATTTTAGCCATATGTACTGCTAACTCTGATGATGCAGAGTTATATTTCAGATGCAATTTATATTTCAGATTTCAAACCCGTAATCTGAACTTAATAGTATTGTTCATTTATTCATATTTTAACTGAATACGTTTCTGTTAAACATACTGAACTCATCAGGTCTTAATACTTGCCGCATATTCTTATATTTATTAATATATAAGCAAAAAAATAATAGTCTGAAATTGTAAAAATTACCATTTTCTGTGTGACATTTAATCTAGGTATTAATCAAAAGAATAATAATATATGTAATAAAGTCATTTAATAAAACAACATTCTTTTATTTTTAATGTTATAAACTTAGTTATCTAGCAAGAGGGACTGTATTTATGACAAAATGAATGAAAAGTATGATTTTTAATGTAAAAAATAATAACTGTGGAGCAGATTCAGAAATTTTATTCAAGATTAACCAATTTACGCATTTACTTGTAGATATGAAGAATAGTTCTGGCTTTTCTTAGATTTCGGTAACTTACATAAAGCCCCGTCGACAGAATATTTCAGAAATAAGCATTGATGGAGAGCAAGTAAAACAGATTAGAGGCAATACGGCTTGCGGTGGGATTGCCTTATTTGATTTGTAAGTTTGCGTTTCCCCTTCGTTCAAATAGGAACAATGATGAATTGCAACTAGAAGGCAATTAGAATATCATGTAGCTTAAATTTGCGAATCGATTGCATTTATTTGTAATAGAAAAAATTCAAAAGTAACTTAGCATAAAGAAGCAAATTTTCGTTATTTCATTTGTAGTTTAATAGCAGCTGTATGTATCTGGAGAATTCTGGCATCTTCAAGTAACTATTCTCTTGTCTTAGGCAAAATGTCCAATAAATAAAGTATTATTTAGAGGTGAGGAGACTCCTAAATTTTTTGAATCCAAATCTTAAGCAGTTCTTGACTTTTTTGAATTTTTCAAATACTGTATCCACCCCTTATTAAAATCATTTTAGCTCCAAAAATATTTGAGTTTATTAAGAGGTTGAGTCCAGACTGTGATATCTAGTTTAAGCCCATCTAGTAAAATAACAACTAACATCTAATCCAATAATTATTCCTAAAATAATAATTAAAAGTTAATGCTAAAATTTTGAAATTTATTTTAAAAATCTTTTATAAAGCATTTTTATAATTTACGTACATGATGAAATTTTTAACTTGTACAAAAACAACTGTTTAATACATGATGGTTTCGTATTGTTAGGCAGTAGTTTTTCAATTGTATTCTCAATTTTGTTGGTAGCTTCTTTTTTATCATTAAAACTAGAGTTTTTATTAGAATTTACTGTGCTTTTCTAGCTTTCGTTAATGTTCGTATAGCACCACTTTCACTATCAGTTTCTGCAGTTATTTTAACACTTTCTGTAACATCATAGTCAGGTATTACGCATGTTGTCAATTGATAAGAATTCTAAGAATGAATCCTTATTACTTCCTTTACTGATGTCTGAAACATTAGCTATAGCTTGCAGTTCCTACGAGGCTTCTTCTAAATAAAAGCCGCATATTCGAAAACAGTTTTTAATTTTATTTTAAGAAACTGACTCCCTGTTTTGTCTATAAGATTCATGGTCCCTAGCAAAAATACTGAATTATTTCCTCGAAAGTGCTTCATTTTCATAAGATTTGATTCTGTTTATCCTTTTCTTTAATCTTCTATAATGATGTTTGAAAGCTATTATAATACTTGTCCTAAAGGTTGAATGATAGAAACTGTATTTGCAAGAAGTGGCATGGAAATCAATGGCTTTAAAATAATTACTGTAAAAGAAGTACATTTAATCCAAATTTTAGGGCCGTTACATCAAACGTAATAAGAAATAATGATAGAGGGTTTCATGATTCCATCTTAAACTGACATATTAATAGTTAGAAAAGGATATCAGAAAAGAAATTTTTAAGAATAATTAGTAATTTAATAAATGTAGAATATCCGATAAATGTAATTTCATCAAAATTGCATTTACGCAAAAGAAATTAATAAAAATAACGTCTGGTATCTAGTAGACGGTTAACTATTAACTGTAATTTGGCTTCATTATCCTTTTATGAAACACTGCAGCTATGCTGGAAAAACTTTCATCGACAGTTTTCTTTGATATAAAATGTGTTTTGAAAATTAAGTGTTAATTAAGGGTTGTAGATCTGTTGTTATTAAATTACATAATTTTTATTACATAATTATGAAAATTTTCTCTGCACATTTTTCCACGTTTTGGGCATTTCATTTCAAAATTTGTCAAAATTAGCGAGTTTGCACGAAGTAATTACTTGAATAGTTAACCTAAGCATTTTGTATTTAATTTAGAAAACGTAAAGCTAATTTTAACATATCATAAATTTTTCACAGCTACAATCCTCGCAGAATACTGTCATAACTGCATGATAAAGTGCGCTTTATTTTGTAACAAAAGTAAATGTACAGCAATTTTTCCTTTAAATGAAAGATTCATGAAAAAAATTAAATCGTAATGATTAAAATAATGTTTTTTTACTTTAGCTGGAATAAAATGGGCCTAACCTTCTTACCTGG